AATTTCCTCAGATTGAATATTATTATTCAGTAAAAAAGAGCCTCTTAGGGGGTGTTTAGTTTTCCTCTCTTGAAATGTAATGTAAAACATTATTATTGCTGTTTTTAGTGTATACCAAGACTGGCTTACTGTACACACACAGTTACCATCTGTCTTACTTCCTTTTCTATTGCTGTGTTAAGGCACAACAACTAAGACAACTTACAGAAGGGTTTATAATGGGCTTATCACTTCAGAGATTTAGAGTACATGACCATTGTTATAGGGACCATGTCAGCAGTCAGAAAGCTTGGTGTTAAATCAGTGTTTGGGAGCTTACATCTTGAATCAGATGCATGAGGTAGAGAGAACAAGATATTGGGGATGTCTTTTAAAACCTCCAAGTCTAACAACAGTGACATACCTCCTTTAACAAGGCCATACCTCCTAATCCTTCCCAACCAGTTCCACCAACTACAGACAAAATATTCAAACAAATGAGCCTAGGGAGGTCATTTTCATTCAAATCCCCATATCATCAGAGTTTTGTCTTTAAAAGAACATCTTCTAGCTACTTTTTTCTATAAACAGTTCTGATAATTTTATGAGTTATGAAAATCATGAAAAATCTTTAAATAGTAATGGATAAATGCTACTCTTAAGATGAAAGCTAATTGCAAGGTGCAATTATCTCTGAATAAACATTCTCAGGAAAATTCAAAGTTGTTTAAAATGAAGTACAAGTTACTTTTCTATACATATTGTTCTTTTTCTCCTGGAAATATATGATGATTTAGGTTTTCATTAAAATCCTCTCTTTTTTCATATTTAGGCTGTTGGTACACAAGTCATGTTGAGTCTTCATAGTAGAAGGATCCAAACATTGCAAGAGACACACCAAAATAGTCTTATCTAATAGTGTTCTATCATGGAAGGAGCCCTACAGAAACATTGTCATCCTGTCTCCTCTGGTAGTGCTAGGAGAACATTTGCTCTTTACTTGGGTGAAATGTACAGAATTTAAATAAATACAAAGTATAAGCTCCATTTGTAGTGCTTTTTAAATTATTTTGGCTTAATACAGTCAGAAAATCCAATTAAATAATGAAGTGTTTACTCAGAGCACCTCTGAAAATGTACCATGTATATACCTCTGAATTTCTCTCCTCTGCTTCTTGACTCCTAGGTTACATCAGCAGTATGAATGTGCCTAGCTTTAGTTCTTTCAACATTTGATGTTTGCTGTTGTAATATGTGTGGCTGATAAGTTGAATCTCTGATGGGAGTGATGAGAATATATCTTGCTCATTATTAAGAAGTTTCTGTAAGAATTCTCAGTTATCTGCTGAGTTGCTGGCAAGCTGATTTATATGTATCTTGTGGTCTCTCTGGCCATAGCCACTTGGTTCCTGTCACTGAGATACGGTCTGTGGACCAACATTATCAGTGTTATCTTAAAGCTTATGAAATTTTCATAAAACCAAGGCATTCTGACCAATGTTGAGAGTTATAGTCTGGGTTTTTCCATGTATCCAGATGATGACTGTATATGTTGGAGTTTGAGAAGCTCCCCTCGGTGTTGGTAAAGGGTTTTGCGGTGTTCATATCATTCCAAACTCTTTTTTTCTTTTTAATTTTTTAAAAATTTATTTATTGTTTATTACACTGTATTCACTTTGTATCCCAGCTGTAGCTCCCTCCCTCAGCCCCTCCCACTCCCACCTTCCTCCCTCTTCTCTCATGCCCTTCTCCAGTCCACTGATAGGGAAGGTCCTCTTCCCATTCCATCTGACCCTAGTCTATCAGGTCTCATCAGGACTGGCTGCATTGTATGTGGCCTGCTTTCTCTGTGGCGTGGTAAGGTTGTTTTTCCCTAAGGGGGAGGTGATCAAAGAGCCAGCCACTGAGTTCATGTCAGAGACAGCCCCTGTTTCCCTTAGTAGGGAACTCATTTGGACACTGAGCTGCTGTGGGGTACATCTGTGCAGGAGTTCGAGGTTATCTCCATGCATGTTCCTTGGTTGGTGTATCAGTCTCAGAAAAGAAATCTGTACACCTAAATAAGCTAATGAAAAAGGAGGACCCTGGGTAAAATCAATCCTCATTAAGAAAGGCAAATGGGTTAAATGTCGAAAGAGGAAGAAAACAGGGAACAGGACAGGAGCCTACCACAGAAGGCCTCTGAAAGACTCAACCCAGCAGGGTATTAAAGCAGATGCTGAGATTCATAGCCAAATTCTGGGCTGAGTCCAGAGAATCTTATAAAAGAAGGGGGAGATAGAAAGACCTGGAGGGGACAGGAGCTCCACAAGGAGAGCAACAGAACCAACAAAACCTTTTTAAAGTAGTATTATATTTTTAATTAGTCCTCTATCATACATTTAGGCTTTATTCAAGGAGGGAAGAGTCCTTTGGGTCTCAAGAGAACTTTGTAGCTACTTGTCATTTCTGCCTTGCCCTAGTGGTGTTCCGTGGTCTGAAAGCATGAGCAGCTTAGTGGCTGATTTACTGCTTCTCTGCACTGTCCATTTTTACTCTTCTTGAATGGTAGTCAGTGTGTATTTTATATTCTGAAGGAGGGTAAGGGCTTTACCTGATTTTCATTAAAGTTAAAAGGAACAAGGAGAGCTTATGAGTTTGTTAAGTCGTTTAGAATCATGATATATCTGGAACATCGTGCCTTTTAGCTAGATACTTGTCTCTCTATTGGCACTCATTAAACATTTATGTTTATAAGTCATGGTTGGACATAGGGTTTCAGGAAGATGGGGCAGCCTTCGAATGGAATAGCATGACATGATTTGTAAATGATTATTTGTCTTCATTCTATTTTCTATCACAAGACCTTTTGTAATCTCTTCCTTCATTGATTCATTTTTAACTTTGTCAATAATTTCATTTATTTTAACATATTGTGCGACATTTATGCTTCAGCATATTTAAAGGCAGAGTGTTGATCTGGGAGTTAGAAGTTTTGTGACATCAACATTGTGTAGACTAAATGGGTGAGGCCTCGTTTCTCCACCTTATTGTCCATCAATAAACCCTGGACTTGGGAGCCTTGCTGTTTTGGCATTTCATCATTGGATATGCCTCATAACAAGACAGATATATTAATCCAGAAACCCTTATAACCCCTCCTCTCCTAATTAGACCATATGTTTATCATGTTCCACCCTGCCTGTGGTCTCCTTATGCTTGAATATAATCTACCCTCCCTATCACAACCATCAGTGTATTAGTGACCCTTTAATGGATGGTCAGACTGTTTCCTCTTTTTTATTTCTGCCTACAGCGGCGTCTTCCACATCTCAAACTTGCTAAAATGTGGACTTTTCTCCAGTACCAGCTAGTTTTATGTGAACTTGACAGAAACTAGAGGCATTTGAGAGGAAAGAACTTCAACTGAGAAAATGTCTCCATAAGATCTGGCTGTAAGCAAATGTGTAGGGCATTTTTAAATTAGTGATTGATGGGTGACAGCCCAGCCCATTGTGGATATGGACCCACCTCTTAGCTGTGGTCTGATTTCTGTAAGATATCAGGCTGAGCAAGTTGTGAGGAGTAAACCAGTAAGCAGTACCCCTCAGTGGCCACTGCATCAGCTCCTGCCTCCAGGTTTCTACCCTGTTTGAGTTCCTGTCCTGACTTCCCTTGGTGATGAAACATAAACTGAATGATGCTTTCCTCCCTAAGTTGCTTTGGTCATGGAGTTTCATTGCGGCAGTAATAAGCCTAATTAGGACACCTCTTTCTCTCCCCCACAAAAAAAAAAAAAAAAAAAAATAGCTCCTTCTTATCCCTTTGATTTATAAGCTGAGGTGGTTGCTTGAGTTTCCCAAGTAACCCTCATATGGCTTACACTGTCTTTTTCATGCCATTCTTTCCACACATCATTCTTTGTAGCTACTTATTTATACACTGTGAAGGTTTGTCATCCTGAGTAGCTTGCAAGAGCCAAGGAAGCAAGGACTGTGAGTTCCCCTTTGACCAGTATGTAGCCAGCAGCTGGTAAAATAACTTCAAGTGATAGTTCATAGAACTTACTGTGTTATTTCGTTTTAGTAAAATATGTGCTAAGTAGAAACTGCTTCATATGATATTTACAGAGTTAAATAAGGCTTTTTAATCAAAGAATTGAATGCCTCATTGTAAAAATTTGGGTACTTTTTGATATGCTTTTTGCAGTTACATACCTTTGTTTTTTTTCTTTTAATCAGATATTTGCCTTAATATAGTAGTTATTGGAAATGTTATAAAATCTGGCAATAAGATCTCTTTGTTTTATGATCTTTAAAAAGAAAGTACACACATGAACACATATACAGGCTCCCTTAACACATATATCTGTATAGCCATGCTTTGTGACACCTAGCATACATTCAGTGTTCTCAGTTTCTGTATCTACCCACCGATTATACAATTTATATACACAAGATAGCCTTATTTCATTGGCTAAACTTATTTAAATATATGTTAGAAAGGACTATTTTAATCACAGAATATTCTAATATGCAGAAAAGGTATAAAGAGGAAGTTGACATTTAAAAATGTTAATGTATTTATAGTGAAAAAAGAAGCCTTGTTTCAGCTCAGATAAACAAAACGTGGGCAGGCCATTGGGGAAATCAGTTGTAAAAAACTGAGTATCAACTTAACCAGTACTGAACTGATGATTATGAATCAAGATAAAATGAACAGAGCAGGTGATAATGAGGCAGAGCACCCAGTTCTGATGGTAATTGACTGCCTCCCCAGTGTGTGTGTGTGTGTGTGTGTGTGTGTGTGTGTGTGTGTGTGTGTG